GGGACCTTTGTCTGTGTCTACCTTCACAGGTGCTGCTCCTACTCGCTACTCACAGCACTTGCCTCTACAGCCTGTTAGAGGCTACATGGGGGACCTTTGTCTTTGTTGCGGGCTCGCAAACTCTTTTTTAAGCCACGGGCTTTTGTTACAAAACACGAATTCGTATTGATGTGTAGAGGAGTGCGTGTTACAGACACAGACACAGTGTGTAGCTACTGCTAGGCAAGGGCTGTGTGCGTGTCACAGACAGTGTGTAGCTACTGCTAGGCAAGGGCTGTGTGCGTGTCACAGACACACAGTGTGTAGCTACTGCTAGGCAAGGGCTGTGTGCGTGTCAGACTGTGTAGCTACTGCTAGGCAAGGGCTGTGTGCGTGTCACAGACACAGACACACAGTGTGTAGCTACTGCTAGGCAAGGGCTGTGTGCGTGTCACAGACACAGTGTGTAGCTATTGCTAGGCAAGGGCTGTGTGCGTGTTACAGACACAGACAGTGTGTAGCTACTGCTAGGCAAGGGCTGTGTGCGTGTCACAGACAGTGTAGCTACTGCTAGGCAAGGGCTGTGTGCGTGTCACAGACACACTGTAGCTACTGCTAGGCAAGGGCTGTGTACGTGTCACAAACACAGAGAGTGTAGCTACTGCTAGGCAAGGGCTGTGTGCGTGTTACAGACACAGTGTGTAGCTATTACTAGGCAAGGGCTGTGTGCGTGTCAGACTGTGTAGCTACTGCTAGGCAAGGGCTGTGTGCGTGTCACAGAGTGTGTAGCTACTGCTAGGCAAGGGCTGTGTTCGTGTCACAGACACAGAGTGTAGCTACTGCTAGGCAAGGGCTGTGTGCGTGTCACAGACACAGACAGTGTGTAGCTACTGCTAGGCAAGGGCTGTGTGCGTGTCACAGACACAGACAGTGTGTAGCTACTGCTAGGCAAGGGCTGTGTGCGTGTTACAGACACAGACACAGTGTGTAGCTATTACTAGGCAAGGGCTGTGTGCGTGTCACACTGTGTAGCTACTGCTAGGCAAGGGCTGTGTGCGTGTTACAGACTGTGTAGCTACTGCTAGGCAAGGGCTGTGTACGTGTTACAGACACAGACACTGTGTAGCTACTGCTAGGCAAGGGCTGTGTGCGTGTCACAGACACAGACAGTGTGTGTAGCTACTGCTAGGCAAGGGCTGTGTGCGTGTCACAGAGTGTGTAGCTACTGCTAGGCAAGGGCTGTGTACGTGTTACAGACACATACACTGTGTAGCTACTGCTAGGCAAGGGCTGTGTGCGTGTCACAGACACAGACAGTGTGTGTAGCTACTGCTAGGCAAGGGCTGTGTGCGTGTCACAGAGTGTGTAGCTACTGCTAGGCAAGGGCTGTGTGCGTGTCACATACAGAGTGTGTAGCTACTGCTGGGCAAGGGCTGTGTGCGTGTCACAGACACAGACTGTGTGTAGCTACTGCTAGGCAAGGGCTGTGTGCGTGTCACAGACAGAGTGTAGCTACTGCTAGGCAAGGGCTGTGTACGTGTCACAGACACAGAGAGTGTAGCTACTGCTAGGCAAGGGCTGTGTGCGTGTCACAGACACAGACAGTGTGTAGCTACTGCTAGGCAAGGGCTGTGTGCGTGTCACAGACACTGTGTAGCTACTGCTAGGCAAGGGCTGTGTGCGTGTCACAGACACAGTGTGTAGCTACTGCTAGGTAAGGGCTGTGTGCATGTTACAGACAGTGTAGCTACTGCTAGGCAAGGGCTGTGTACGTGTCACAGACAGTGTAGCTACTGCTAGGCAAGGGCTGTGTGCGTGTCACAGGCACAGACAGACTGTGTAGCTACTGCTAGGCAAGGGCTGTGTACGTGTCACAAACAGAGAGTGTAGCTACTGCTAGGCAAGGGCTGTGTACGTGTCACAGACAGAGAGTGTAGCTACTGCTAGGCAAGGGCTGTGTGCGTGTCACAGACACAGACACAGTGTGTAGCTACTGCTAGGCAAGGGCTGTGTGCGTGTTACAGACAGAGACTGTGTAGCTACTGCTAGGCAGGGGCTGTGTGCGTGTCACAGACACAGTGTGTAGCTACTGCTAGGCAGGGGCTGTGTGCGTGTTACAGACACAGTGTGTAGCTACTGCTAGGCAAGGGCTGTGTACGTGTCACAGACACAGACACAGTGTGTAGCTACTGCTAGGCAAGGGCTGTGTGCGTGTCACAGACACAGACACAGTGTGTAGCTACTGCTAGGCAAGGGCTGTGTACGTGTCACAGACACAGTGTGTAGCTACTGCTAGGCAAGGGCTGTGTACGTGTCACAGACACAGAGTGTGTAGCTACTGCTAGGCAAGGGCTGTGTGCGTGTCACAGACACAGACACACACTGTGTAGCTACTGCTAGGCAAGGGCTGTGTGTATTGTGAGTTACAATGTTCTATTTAGCCCACCACCCCCTATTCTTCCCCCTGCCCCCCCCCCCCACACGTGAGAATGGTTCGTTCCACTTCTAATTGTGGTCCTCTCCGGCCTGGGCGATACCACCAGTTAGTTGGCGGGGAGGGGGAAGCCTGGCGGTGGGGAGTGATACTCATTGGGTGGTGATGGGGTTTTGCGTGGGGTTATTTACATACCCCCTTCTACCCCCCCCTTTCTCCAATCCCTCTTCTCCCCTCCCCCCCTTCTACCCCCTTCTACCCCCCCTTCTACCCCCTTCTACCCCCCCCCCCTTATCCCCTCCCCCTTCTCCAATCCCCCTTCTCCCCTCCCCCTTCTCCCCCCCTTCTCTCCCCCCCCCCCCTTCTCCCCCCCCCATTCTCCCCTCCCCCCTTCTACCCCCCCCCCTTATCCCCTCCCCTTCTCCCCCCCCCTTATCCCCTCCCCCCTTCTACACCCCCCCCTTCTACCCTTCCCCCTCCCCCCTTCTACCCTCCCCCTTCTCCCCCCCCTTCTCCCCTCCCCCCCTTCTACCCTCCCCCTTCTCCCCCCCCTCTCCCCCCTCTCCCCCCCCCACCCCCCATAGTCACACTTGGGGTTTGTCTTTCCCCCTCTTCTGTGTCGCCACGAGTTCAAGTCGAGAGTCGCTGGGGTGCAACGGGCGAATTGGGGCGATTGCCCCGGGACCCGCACTTTGGGGGGAGGTGGAGGAGGTGGAGGAGGAGGGGGACAACTCCCCCCCCCGCCCCAGGGACGGCTCAGGGTCTAGTCAGTCTCGCGAGGCTCCCCGAGACCGAGACTCTGCGTTGCTGCGTGGTTGCTGTTCAATATTCGCTCTGTTGTTGTTGTTATTTAACTTTGATTATTTAAGTTTGCTTCTCAAAGGTGTCACCTCGTGCGGTCTCTCTCTTCTCTTCTCTCTCTTCTCCCTCTCCTTTTTTTTATTACGATCAGAGGAGACGAGAAGATGCTCGGTGTAGTCGGCATTTGGCTTAGTTCATTTCGAG